CGAAACAACCGCGTTCCTGGAAAAAGGACTCAATTTTTCAATTCAACATCACAGAAGCCTTCTAGGAGACTTCCTGGTGGAGGTTATCAATATCGCCGACAAGTTAGTTCCTTGAGGAGACAAAACGGGAAATAGAGATGGAACTAATTCCAAATATCTTGACCCATAAGGAGTCTACACACAGGAATAGATTTGTCGGGATATGCTAAACACAGGAAAGAAATGGACAATTAGTCCTTCAAGCGGACAAAGGATGAGCTACAGTGATAATGGACAAAAAAGAATATACCGAGAAGATGGAACCACATGTCGTATGCTAAACAAGGACCCAACTATGAAGATCAATGGAATCTAAAGTGCCATGTTGAAAGATACGCATAGAAAAGGGGAAATTGACGCATGGACAAGAAATTCAATCATAAGAAAGGAGGCACGACCACCAACAGCATATGGATTACCGAAGATAAACTAGGAAGGCGAGCCACTAAAGCTGATGGACAACAAGAAGTATGGAGCAACACACAAATTGGGAAAGTTTATATGTTTGAAACTCAAGAAATAGAAATGAGAGGCTATAAAACACAGTGAAACATTCATATGGATTTTCTTAAAAAATCAAAAACATGGCACTGGAAGAAACGGACTTATTGGTAGGTTTCGATGTGGAATGTAGAGAAAATGCGCTACCGGCCCTGCTGGAAATGCTGGACCGAGATGAGGATAGCCTGGAATGACAACGAATCAGGAGGGAGTCGTTAACAAGACTAGTCAACTTGGCAATAAAGACAACCTATTTTACATTCAACGGGAACATCTACGAACAAATATTTGGACTTCTTATGGGATCGTCGCTCTCACCATTTTTGGCAAACGTATACGCCTAACGGATTTAGAATTGTTGAACGAGGAGCTGGACAAATTGACGATACAAAGAGACATACGGGCCGTGAAAAGCCGATGGCAGAACGGGGACTATGAAAGAACAGTAAGGACGATGGAGGATTCACAAAAGTGGATATGCCTAACTTCCTGCGAACAGACGCAAAAACTACGCCCAATGGAATATTCATGTGGCCATGAAAGAGAAGGCAACACTTTTTGCAAGTCTACCAACACAACAAGAAAGGGTAGACAAATTGAATTGTTTATGAGTTTACCGTGTATCATGCGGCGGCTGCGCACAGAAATATATATTGGCGAAGCAGGAAGAAAAATAAGTACACGAATCAAGGAACATGAGAGGCTCTGCAGAAAAATGGATAATGAAAGATCAGAACTAGCGGATCACATCGCACGGACTGGACACGAGATCAATTGGAAGGCAACAGAAAGGAAAACTCGGTACGTTGACAATACACGAAAGTGGAAGATTAGGGAGGCCATTGGCATGCTTGGGGAGAAAAATCTAATGAACAGAAGATTGGAGGAAGGTAGAGTTAGCGATAACTTTGCCTACTGCCTAAGCAAACTCGGGGAAAAGAAGAATAGAGCAAGACCAGCAAAAATGAGACGCCTGGATCAAGGATCTACCGCTAACCGGAGGAAAAGGGATCGCTCCAGTCGAGACCGAGTAGTCGGGTCTGGTGTGGCGCTTAGGAGCACATTCGAGAGACACTTTTGGTCTCGACAGACCGGCTGTCCGAGCCGGTTATGGCCGCTCATGGTGCACCATTTGTTGAATTTCGCTCCATTTTTATTTGCATCAATGCGTCTTTCGCTACCTGCTCTCCCTAACGCTTATCCCGAAGGACAATCGCGAGTGACTTTTTCTTCAGGACCCCAACTACATGGGCCTCGACACCAATTTGCTCTTACAAGTCTTTATGTGGTACAGTTGTGGCTCTTCACTTTTTCCCCAAATGATGCACGTCTGTTTGTAGAAGCGGCCTCTTTTTTCAACCATGCCATCGTCGGGTGGCGGCAGAGTCGTTGCTGCTCCACTCTGGGCTCAAAGTTGGCATTCTTCGCTGCTCTTCTGGCCCACTATCGCTCGCGCCGATCTCCGGCCTCGTACGAGGCCTTCAATTCGCCTCTCCGTTTCCCACAAACCCCGGCAACGAGCACTCATCGTCATGACGACCAGTTGCTCTTGGCGAGAGGCTGGCTGGTTTGAAAAAGTGGCCGATTTCGTATCTCGATTTGGGGTTGCCGACTGCCTTTATCTCGTCGTTTGCGCACCCTTTTCCCGTCTTCCCTCCGAACCCGACCAACCGACTGATGCCTCATTTGACGAAGCATTCTTTGTTGCCAATGCTCTCATGTCAACAGACCCGAATGTGTCTGTTGTCTGGTGCCTGTTGTCAGTTGCCGGGTCGCCTCGTCTGTTGTCGAGTAGAGAGCGACCGGACTGGTTCACTTGAGGAGGCTGTTGTCCACTTGCGCATTGCTTCTCCTCTTCGAAACCGGATCAGAAAGATGAGCACGACATTGTCTTTCTGGTATCAGCGGGCCTGGCTTTGGGGCTTTTGTCTTTCTCTTTCTTTGGCTCTGTGTACATTGTCTGTGCATGCGTGTGTGTTTTCCTCTTCCTCAAAGACAAGTGATCGAGTCGCCTCGTCTCATTGATGGCCAAATGCGTCCGATGCAAACTCTGAAAGACACATTCCGCATCAGAATAAAAACTGTCTTCAAGCCATTTCGTCTAAAGCCAACTTTCTCACAATCAGATGGGCACACTTTAAGTTTCCATTACATTTCACATAGTCTTGCTTTACCAGAAGGCAGTCTCGTCCGCGCAAGAGTTGACTGCACTTTCCACTTTGCATCAACTGGGCTCATAAGCACTCCCAGCGGGTCTCGAACCCTGACAATGCAGCACATACTACGCCATATTGTCACGAATGCCCTAGTGCCAGACATTTTCCCATATCACATTCAGTGGTGGGAATGTTGGTTGCCATAGCAATCGACTACATTACATATTTTTCGTTGACAAATAGATTTTCAAGATCATTTATGCATGAAGTACATTCACCCTCTTTCGTCAAAACTGGGCGATTATACCCTTTAAGAAAGCTAAACTATGAAAACGCTATGTCCATTCATTTGATTGTTGGAAAATTCAATTACCAACTGCCTTATCAAATTAAACGAAATATGGTGAATACACCTCAACGACATCAATCACTTTTTTATCAATTTTGCTTCGTTAATGAAAAGTCACTTTTAAGGGGTGATAAAGAAATGCGACCTGACGGCTACTACAAGCTGGTCTGTGTACGTCTGAGTGGCTGGCTGACGGCCAGCGTAGCGACTGTAGTGGTGGTGCAGCGTATAATCTCGACACTAGCCTCTACACCACATGCCACAGTTTATAAGTGAATTTCAAATCAAATTTCATTGGATATAACAATCAAGCACACTACTTAGTATCGCTTTTAAGTAGGCAACCTCATTTTTCCTCAATAATGGGCAAGGCAGACAGCTTCAGACGCGTCAGTTCACGACAAACACCGTTTGGCGACCTGGAAACTTGAGGGAAGCAGATAACTATAAGGATCTATTTCTTAACATTAAATTGTCCTTTCCGCACTATCTACTCATTATGCTATTAGTAGTTAGCTTAAAAGTTTCCTGCTTGTCGGCTGCGATGGTCTAGTGACCAACATTACGGCTGGCTTGGTTGACTTGAGTAGCGGGCAGCGAGATGGGATTGGGGAGTATTTTACTC